TTGAATTGTTGTATTATAGACTTCAGGGCTGTTTTATTGTGCTGTTTTTGTCAATTTTTCCTTTGTTCTTGAAGTTTCTTCCTCCATTCTAATTCTAATTTCGACTTTATTTTAGCATTTCGTCTTTCCCTATCTTCTAGTAATCTTCTTAATCTGTCACCTAACCTTAATTCTACTATAATATTGGCTATCTCTTCTTTTAAAATTTTAACAACCAGATCTTCTCCTCTTTGTATTGCTTCATGAAAACATTCATGGTTTCTTTCTATAAGTGCAAGTTCAGTATACTCTAATTCTCCTCTATTATACTTTCGAAATTCTTCGAGAAGTTTTTCTATTTGTGCTTCGGCTACTTCTTTTGGATGGAGTTGTTGTCCAGTATATTCCATCATTGTCTCTTCTACTTTCATGTTTATCATTTCGTCTGTTATTACTGTTGTTATATCCTGAATAGCTTCTAATAGCTCTAGCTCTTTTTTTGTAACAGGTCTTTTTCCAGCATTTTGAACTAACTTATACTTCACATGACTTGTTGTTTTTTGATTATCGTTGTTTGTTGTTGCTACTTGTTGTGATTGTTTACCTCTATTGCTTATTTTTGTCACGTGGTTTTTGGTGTGTTTCCCTTGTTTATTTTTCATTACACGTTGTGATTCTTGTATTACCAAAACAGATCTGCAATTCAGGTTCAAGGCTGATTCCCTAAAAATTCGCAAAGTGCAAAAAAATATCGACAACTTTTCACAACTTCTTTTATTTCTTTGCTACTTCTGTTTCTTTTACTCAAGTCTCTTAAGAGACTGAGTGTTTCTTGTAGTCCTCTTCTTCTTTTCTTAGAGCTCTGAGATTCGTTTCTTAGTAGCTTTTTGTGTCTTTCGTAGTTTTTATTAATTTTGTGTTTCGGAAAATTTGTGTTTCGATAATCAGCAGAAAGAGTTGTGTGAAGAATTAATACAATTTTGAATTATATTTTTATATTTATATACAATTTTGAATAATAGCTGTTCTTGTTAGAGTTTAGCTTAAAAATATTTTGCTATAGTATAGTATATGCTTAATGCTATGATTTAACAACTACTGTATTATATAGGTCTTTTAATAGTTAAAACTTGCAAATATATTATTATAGTTGTAATTGCTTATATTATCATAAAATATTGTATAAAGCAAAATATTATATATAAAAAAATTTTTATGAATTACAATGGTCATGTGATATTGTCAAAGTTGTAATAATAAAAAGAATCTTAGAACTAGTAGAATAAAGCTATAAAAATATCTATTTTAAGGAAGGATTAAAACTAGTAAAATTATAGCTATTTTTTTTGATAATATAATATTTTATTAACATCTTCTAGGGTTAACCAACTTTATAAACTTCTATAACTTTTTATAATCTGGACTACAACTACTATCTATCTTCTTAGTATTATCTAAAACTAATTCTTCTTAATCTATCTACTTCTTCTTTTCAAAATCTAAATTCATAAATTCTTCTTTTTTCTTTTTGGCAACAACTTTCCTCTTGCCTTTATCTTTTAGTCTATATATAAAAAAAAGTTATTATTATTATTTTTTTATTATTAAAATTTATTGAAATTTACTTTTCTTTTTCTTTTTTAGAATCTCATATAGTTATAAAATCATCACTTTCAATAACAATAATATTTCTTATTTCTTTTTCTTTTTTTTTTTACTTCTCTTATTATTCACTTCGTCCTTATTTAATTATTGTCTGGAGTAAAGCAGAGGACTCATACTTCTATATGCTTTGATGACTGAAATTATAATTTTGATGCATCTATAATCAAAAGATCAAAAAAGTAGTTTCAGCATTTTCTGTCTATTACACCACATGTTTATATTTGTATATTGTATAAAAAAATTATACATGTTTATGTGTTTGTGTAAGATGAAAATAATAAGCTCCAGATGTTAACTGGTTTCCAATTCCTAGTATATTATTATGTTATATTATTAAAGTATATTATATTGCTTTATATAAATAAAAAAAATGAATTTTTTTTTACATCAATATTTCTTGCACTTTACACTTATAAAAGTTCTTATCATTCATTGATACCTGTCTCTTCTTTTCTAATATAAATTTCTTCTCCTCCCACTTCTGTTTTCTTCTATGCCACTTTGAATTTTTCTTCTTCAATATTTCTTGTTTATGTGTTTATAATAATAAACCATCTTAAAAAATTTTTATTTTAAGTTCTTAAAAAATTATAAATAAGATTAATTTATAGAACTTACTTCTTAAACTTTAATTCAAATCATATGAAAAATCTTAATTTTATTGGACAATTATAGTTAAAAATTAGTCTTTATAAACTGTACAACAAACAAATTTTGTAATTATACTTACTATAGTAAAATAGTAAAGATATATAACCATTGTAGAGTTGTATATTCAAATCCAGCTGGTGGATGGTAAACTCTGCTATTCAGAGTTATGATTACAAACTGGCCTGTAGTAAACTTTTTAGTTAGTGATAGTATTATTTTCTTATTTTGTACTATTTACAAAGTTTTTCACTGGAGCTCAAAAATTAGAAGGGAAAAATGTTAACCCCTGTAATTTAACATCATGTGACATTAAGCAGAAATGTGACACTAATGCCAAGAGTGCTAAGTAGCACTAGCTAGCACTAACTATTGCTAAAGTAATATAGATAGGGCCAGTAGTCTAAAACACTTATTACATTAATAACATTAATGCTTTCCTTTAAAATTAGTAGTTCTAGTAAATTTGTAATTTATAAAAATAGTAACAAAAATCGGAAGTTCAAAGGTATGAATAGACTTAGAAATTACTCTTGTAAAGGACAGAACTCGAAGTTCCAACAACTTGACAATAAATCAAGAGTAATCGTGTCTTCATACACGAACAACTCGAATACTTTATTGAATAAATCATACAATTCCCTAAAGAGTGATCATGTCTTCATACACGGATCGCTTGAATAAATTATAACTTGGTTATAGTATCTTCATACACGTATAACTCGAGACTTTGTTGAATAAACTGTAAACTTGTTAATACGACTATCTGTATCTTCACATACATTTAGCCGTTTGCCTCTTTCATAACTGCAAATCACAACAATCCTCTTAACAGCGTAACCGCACTAACCCTATATATAAATCGACATTCGCTATTAAATTAATTAACCTACCCGTCGCTATAGTAAAACGTTATACCGGATTTATAAGAGGTAGTTCCGAGTGTAACAGTACCTCTGTTCTTTTTTTGAATTTCTTTGTCTGAATTTTCACAGCACATTCTATTCCAATTAATACGTACTTTTTTCTCTATACATATAGTTTTTTTTTACCTAAATTTTCGTGGCATATTCTTCCCGTCTAGGTTTTTCAGCACGTTCAATTTTCAATAATTCCTTTACATACAATTTTTTTTTTAGTGCTTATGATCTGAGGCAAGCGTTAGTCTGAGGCACAACATATATATATATATATATACCTGATAAACTTGGATCAGTGGGTGAAAAAACATTAGCGAATGCCTTTTGCGAAAATCAAAATATGCAAGTAGTATTCAAATAAGTTGTAAGCCAGCAAAAAAAACTCCGGAAATCATTGGAAATCACCAGGCCCAGTGATAACTGATCCTAGAGGTTTCTATGTTTTCAATTTCATCCAGTTAGTCCAGTATCTTCCAATTCCAGTGATTCACAATGGAACGTTCCAGTGGGCAACGCACTATCACTATACTTGTACGTGTATTAAATTATGCGAAGTTATAACCGCAGTTCAGTTCAAAAATTGTTTGTAACAAGCCGTTAGCCAACTTTTCTACACAGCAGTTCACCCAGCCATACTACACAGAATTCGATTTAAGTTATATTATTTAATAGTAATTAATATAGTATGAAAAAATTTGATATATATATATATAATTTTCAAGCATTAATGTTAATTTGGTGTACGTATTAAAAACAAAAATAACGATAATAAATATATGTATTAGCATCAGGGAATCAAATCCTTTCAAGACCAATACGTCGGGTAGGCCCAGCCCAACTCGGTGAAATGAAATTTCCAATTCGGAGGAATATCAAGACGGAGCGTTGTACGTTTTGATACTGTAACCAAGCCTTTTTGGACAAGTATGCCCCATCGCCATCTCTTGAATAGTTATAAAAAAATACATGAATATTTAACATATTTAACGTATTCAATTTAAAGTAAATGCCCAAACTCATGTTCAAATCTATTGAGAATATGGAGAATGGCTAGAGAAACCACAGTTTTGCCCATTTTCCATATAAGAGAAATAGAAATCATTATGAGCTTGACTTAGAAAAAGATCTTAGTAACTGTTAATCATTGAGATATGGCATGAAATTATATATTTTTATGGTTTTGAGCTCCGATTTGCTTCGATATCGACGAATTAAGCTTGATAATAATTATATATTATATTGGAAATCCTTATTAACACTAATGCCAGCCCAAACTAGTTACCCGCCAGACCATAATAGGACTCAATCTTAGAGTAATGATAGCTATGTATTTTACATTTTATGTATAGAGTTAAATTGGAATCATGTGAATGCGTACATCAGTAACGTTATGTGGATTCTTTGATCCTCGCAGTACATGCACGCATGGTATTTCGTATTAGAAATTTATACATCAATATGATCTACAAACTACTTTTATTAGTGGTATAAAACGGGAAATTTCTATACTGCAAATACCAATACCTACGTACGTACTAAATGTATAACCGAAAAAGTCTAAAGCAATAAACTCCTATGAAAATATAATAACTTCAATACATTATGAAAAGCAAGGCTGTATTGTGACTTATTCATCAATGTCCATTTTATCGTCTTCATTAAAACTTTGGCTACTCTCATTAAACAAAGGTCCGACTCCTGTACCGCTGGCATTAGTTTCGTCTATATCTAACATTTGAATGTCATTCTCTTCAATTTCCTCCTCAATTTCAAAAATCTTTCCTTCAGAATCTGCTGTATAATCGTCAGAGTTACCATCTTTAATGATACATTCACCATTGTTTCGACGATACAAAACCATTTCTTTTCCACGAACACTATATTCATCATTTTTTACACTATCAAACTGTGACCGCATATACCTATTGAAAGCTTCTTGATATTGCACAGTAAATTCGATTTTTCTTGGACTTTTCTCTCTTACTACCATTGGCAAGGACTTGGTTGGATCAATAGTAACTGTTGAAGCACTAGAACCATCAGAAATTGGGTGATGAATGATGACATCGTTTTTAAATTCTTGAATGGCACCAAGGGTATGATCTATTAATTCAGTATCTTCTTCAACGTCTTCAATGTAATTTACCGTTGGTTTTTCCGAAGTGCGGACTCTTTTATAAAGATTGCCAACGGTAGTTTCTCCCATAGCGGCAAGGAAGTTACCTTCTTCTAAGTTTAAACACTCAACAGAAGATGAATTTTTATAGTCATTTTCAACAAATTCTAATGAGCGTTTTAATTTTTGCCGCTCCTGTTGTTCCGTATTTGAAATTGATTCCAAGGACTCGCCTGTGGAAAGATCGATTATACGAGACATTTCTGAACCGGATTCCGATTCCAGAATGTTTTTGTGCTCTTTGAGATCAATTTTGTTAAACTCAAATAATGGTAATAGTTTTTTATCATGACTACAAGAACGGAAGGTTGAAAATTGCAATGTCGATGAAGGAAAATTGTTAGCTGAGTGAGGAGGTGTCTTAACTCGTTTGTTCACATTATGGGAAAGTTCATCTTCAAAATAAAATCGTTTTCTCGAGCATGTTTTGTGGTCAGCAGTAGGTACTTCAAACGCACGTTGTTGTAGTGTGGCATTCATATTGATGGATAATATTTCGTTCGGTTTTAAAAACAAGATATAGTTTTAAAATGATTATGTAAAATGCACGGAAACGGCTAAAAAATATACCACGGTTAATTATTATTTTGTGAAAAGGGGTCCGGAAGTGGGTTTTTATAAAACGAGCCTACCATTTTATACAACTCATTTATATATTCCAATCGATCATTAGATTATATAATTGATTTACCGAAGAATGTTATCGAAATTTATGGAAATTTCTCTGATCTCGTTATTGTTTCACAGATTTAACTTATTGAATAATATATTAATAGTCCAGTATCATTTCTTATTTAGGTTTTGAGAACGCCGATTTATACTCATACGGGCATAAGTCGGGGCTTTACTAAAGTGTTAACGTGACACGAGGTTTCAAAAAGACAATTTAGAAACTTAAGTAAAATTTCATTTAATTAACACCCAAAATCGTCCTTTGTTTTTCTATATTTGTATTTCGATTTTTTTTTTCCCTGCTTCTCATATGTTAAATTTTACATTTTGTCGATTGGTCGGTCTTCTTTTCTTACCGACATGTCATATAACGATAAATCCTTACCTGTTACATTTTAAGTACGTACGTACGTGCGTTACATACGTGCGACGTTGGGGCTTCCGATAAACTAATTAATCAAAATCATGTGAGGTGAAATAATAGTAATAATACTGGTAGATTCGTGCATATACATGTTGGCAAAATCCCGACTTACTATAGTTTGGGATTTGTCCGCCATCCCAAATCCCAAATCCCAAATTCT